TTTTCTTCTTACAGTTCAATTATGATAATTGGTTTGTAGAAAAGGCATTTAACACTATGTGTGTGGCTTTTAATTTTTCCAGCGTTAACCATGACGTGTTGGCCTTGATTTCCCCCCCATCACAGTATTGGCCAAGCCTGTAACTGCTAATAGCATCTCAGCTTGGGAAGGATGGATGTATTCAGTTTGACATAACTGAGAAAAGACTAATCTCAACTTAATTGGGGTTGGAGTTCCTATTGTCTATAGCGGAGTAAAGTCCTGCACAATTTACTAACTTTACCTGTTTTCCTGTTACCAAAATGAGTGGTATTTTTACTGGAAAAAGAGGTTGCTTATATACATGTTGGGGGAGGAAGGGGCAAATCAGTAGAGTGCTTCATACTTGGTTTGGAAAAGAAAACTGAGGTTCCTGGAACTAGTTAAATTGATGCTTTCTCATATAGTGGTTATGGACCCCATCCAGAAATAACACACAACTAAGCTAACAGGGAACATTTCCATTGTAAACTGAGGGGCATAAATACGAAGCACGATAGCAAAGGGTGGCATGAAAACTCTCCCAGCGGATAACGTTATATACAAACAATGTGTACCGACTTCAGAAAAATGCCAAATCAAAGATTCGGTGTCAGAATTAAAGGAGGGGAGGGAATGGAAAGGGAAAGGGATATTTTTCCTCGCGCTTTTCCAGACTTTCTACTTTAGCAGTTTACAGCTGGGTTTTATGCTAATAGTGGTCCCAACACTGAACTTTTTACTTTGCAAGTGCCATCCCTCTACCATATAAACTATACATTATAGTCTGGATTCCTTTGTTTAAGGACAGATTGTTGGATGTGTCCTAGAAAGTACAAAATTAACAAGCCACAGCTCAAAAACTTATAAAGAAAACCATACATTTTAACATAGTTCTAATTAGAACTGGGGCTTTTGCCATTTCGTGAGTGAACCTGTGCCCATTGGATCATACAAAATAAAGCCAGAGTAGGGCAGCATTTTAAACCAGGCTTTGTTTTAACTCATTGCTTCCTAAAACCACTGACTCTGCTCCTCGTGAAAGATGAGTAGCTGACTATGTAAAATGAGATCAGAAAATCCTCCTTATAAGCCAAGAAACAATTGTAATGTGAAACAAGGAGTTGTAAGAAAAATTAGTGTCAGTTCTCTTCTAACGAGGTCTAATAGAATTACTCGAGCTCTCCTACCAGAGGTTAGGGAAATCTCAGCATCTCTAGCATGTGCTCTCACAGCCGTAGATATATCATCCATTTACTTCAGTTCTTCCAACTTCACACGGGCTCTTGGCTGGCTGGAGAGAAAAAAAAAAATCAAAACTTCTTAACATTATCTGCCCGTGTTTACAAGAGATGGAAACAGTTTCTTGGATTTTTATGTTCTGACTGCATCACTGTTAAAATTAAACTTGTCAGCGCATCTCTAAGACAACAGAAGAATGATTATGGCATAGCATCACATTGTGATTCAGGGTATAATCATTTACAGTCTTTCAATCTGGCAGCAACTTTATCATGATAGTAATATAGTTCCAGGATAAGTTAAAAGTAAAACCTGCAAAGTAATTTGGGAATGGGGTGGTGATGAGCAAGAGTGAAAGAATTTAGTATTGATATACCACAGGAGAGCTGACAAAAGAGCCTGGGAGAGGAGAACTCGAGCACTGCTGGCAGCGGCACCCAATTGTGCTCAAGACAAAGGCCCTGGCCCTTCTTGTCCCCTAGTAATTCCAAATCTTGGCCAGGAAGAAAGGGAAATAATTCCACTGCAAGTCACCAAAACGCTATCTGAAATGAATCCGGTTTGACGCCAATGGCAAAGATAAGATCCTCCATGTATAAAAACTCTCAAGCTTGTGACTAATGCGCTACAGAAACATCACCTCCCCTCACCAGCGGTGATTCCCTAAATCCAGATTCAATGTATTTTGCCATTTTAAGGGGAAGAAGCTGGCACTGCTGCCTGTGCCTCAGAAAGTTTCTAGCAATCTTGCTGGCAGCGTTGCCTCCACCTGTGAGGCAACAAAACATCACGAACCGGCAGCAGAAGCTGCTGACTGTATTCTGTGCAGAATACGCTTGAGGAAAGAAAAGTGTTGTCGTGATATAACGCAAGAATTGCACCAGGCCTAGAGTACCATCCAGTTTCCAATTTTTCTGCAGGTGATGTTTGTACCGGACTTGGTCTGGATATTACAGCTGGAAAAATGAGACTGCTGGAGAGCTCTAGCTGCTCCCTATTTGCCAGCAGGATCCCCTGGAGCTGTGGCTGGCTAAGCATAATTAAAGTCGTTAGCTAGACTGGGAGCAAAGCCAGGGCCCACCAAACTCCCAAGAACATGAGAACATAAAAATGGCATAAAGCCAAATGTGCTTCAATTACAGTTGATAGCAGTGGCTGTTTTGGCTAGCTAGGTATTTTGTCTACTAACCATTTGAGTTGTTGTTTTGTTTTGTTTTGTTTTTTTGATTAATCAAGACATGGCCTGAGCAGAGAAATGATGGAGTTGAACCTGAGCAGAAATCTGTGCTAAAGGATGGGGGAGTCCTGTCACATAGAAAAGCAAAAGAAAAAAGAGAAAGAAAACGTCCTATTCTTTGCCACCTCGGGCACACAACTGTACAGGAGCGCCGAGACTGGCCAGCCATGCACAGATGTCTTTTCCAGCTGTGCTAGAGGCAGAAATTGGTGCCAACAGTTCAGAAATCACTGTTTTCACTCCCTGTATTGCTCACCGCAATCCCTCTGCCGAGGCTCACCCACGTCCAGAGCTGCTTGCGGGACCAGGCAGGCGACGCTGCCTCCTCTTCCCGTCAAAACTCACTAGTGAACAAAGCTCGACCACTGCAGCCTGGACAAAGCTGGCTCGTTTCCCTTATTCTGGTACAATCTCCTTTTGCTCATCTTTTGCAGCTAAGGTCGTTCCACAGTCTGCATCTGAGGAGCCAGATGGCCAAAGTAATTATTGTCGGTGGAGGTTCCTGGCCGCAATAAATAGCAACATTGGAAGGTGCAGGGTGACAACAATGTCACCCTTCTGCACCCCATGGCCCTGTTAGAGCCCAACAGCGGCAACAATTAAGCTTCAAACTAAACACTCAGATGGTTGCAAAGCACTGTACGACTTAACTGAGAGTTAAACAGGTAGGAAAAGGCACAGGGGAAGGACTCCGGTAACCAATGCAAAGCCATGAAAAGGCACGGTCATGACTTACTGCTACCAGCCAGCGGGGGTCTGGGCACGCGGAAACCGTGGCCGTGGCCGGGCGCAGCGGCTCTGCCAGCACCAGCCGGCTGCTG